AGATGAGGTGCTCAGAGAAGCAACTGGAGTGGGAAGGAAGCACTGGGACGTGCTCCTTCGGGAGGTTGGTAAGAACAGGAGAGCCACGTACTGCTCAGGAAGGAACTAGGTATGGCAGCTCTTGCCTTAGCACAGACCTTCTCGTATGGTTCCCCCAACACCAAGATGTAGAGCCCTCCAGCCTGACAAGCCCCCTCAATCCCACACCCTTCTCCCCACCACATCCATGCTTACAGAGCCAGAGACCTTCAGATTTGGCAGCCCAGGGTGCGGGACCGAGGGACACATCAGCATTGAGCAGCCCCCACAGGGGAGACTGGGCTTAAAGAAATCTGCTCTTGGGGAACCTGCTCCTTAATTTCTTGGGCTCCAGGTGCACGACAGGCTGCCCAGGGGTCACATATTCAGACCTCATTTTGGATAAAACAGAGAAGTGTCACCTACTGCCAGCTGGCACTGCACACATCCCTCTATGCAAGCATTTCTTGGGACAGAGGGATCTGTTATTCTCTCCCTTATTTAAAAGGGCTCTTTTTCGTGGCAGTGACCCGATGTGCTACACTTCAGCTCTGCCTGTCTTTACAGGACCTGACTGCAAAAGCACTTGCAGGGGTGCAGGGGGGCACCCGTGGTGCAAGCAGGGTTTGGGGCTGGAGCAGAGTCACAGGTTGGTTATAGGGTCAGAGGAGCTGGGAAAACACAAAGCAGTTATCAGGAGCATTGGATTAGACTCAAAGCACTGCAAGGAGAGAAAAATAACAGAGGGGAGGACTGAGGGTGGTGGTGTTATGGACAGAAGCCATCATTTTGTGGGGCACCTGCACCCACGCTGACCTGTGAGCAGGGAAGGGGGAAAGATGGGCTCCAAGCTGCTCTGTCCCCCAGGGCCAGCACCGTGCATTCGCCAACACTCACCCTCTGCTGACAATGAGGCGCAAGGCATCCAGGTTGCCGTGGTAGGCGGCCCATAGGGTCGGGGTCATGCCATCCTCGTCCGGTGAGTTCAGGTCCTTCTTGGTGGCTTCCTTCAGGAGGTCGAGGTAGCCATCCCGGGCTGCTCGGTGGTACTGGTCGTTCATGGTGTGGAGTGGTCCCTGGGCGAGTGCATGGGTGCCCAGGGGGGCTCAGAGGATGGGCATGGACGTGGGGAAGGGGAAGCTGCCAGGAGGGCCCAGCTCGCCTCGCACAGCGCTGCCGTACCAGGACACCTGAGAAGTCCTGGCCGGGGAGGCAGGAGTTCCTCCAAGCCCAGCCAGCCAGGCTCTCCAGCGCTTCCCCTGGGTCCTAAGCATCCTCCAGCCTTGACGGCTCCTCACAACAAACCTTTCACGCACCAGCTCCACCGCACATTAAAAGCTCCAATTAAGCAGCCTTGCTGCGTTGGGCTCAGCCAAGCGTTGGGGACACAGGGTCACGAAGCAAGAGCTCACTGGGGTCTACATGTCCCCTAAGCGGAGCAGGCTGCCAGAAAGGCTCAGGGGCCATATCCTGCCTGATACCCCTGCCTGCCCCTTGCTGTAGCCACCCCATCTCGAGTGAGGACCAGCAGAGCCCCAGGACAGAGCCGCAGGAGGAAGTGTGGACCGATGAAGCGTGAGCCCCGCTGCCTCCGCTCGCAGCCCCATCAGAGCAGGGCAGCAGCAGGGACCTGCAGGGATGCTCCTGCTCTGTGCAGAGACAGCCAAGAGCAGTTCGGTGACTTCCCTGATTTCACAGCAACACCAGGGCTGTTCACAGCTCAGCTTTTCCTGGTTAAAAAAACCCAGGAAATATATAAATATCCCTAGTGTCACTAGGAAGACAACAGCAGACCCAGTCACCACCCCGTCCCCCCACTACCCTGCCTGTGCCCACAGGACTCTGCTTTCTAAGGAATCACACAACAAACTGCACAACGGGAATCTGTGATAACCCAAATCTGTGATAACTCACACAGGCTGGAAAAATTCCCTTCGTCACCGCCTCTCCCTCTTTAGAGACCAAAAAACCCCCAAAGCCAAACCCGCTCCTGTCTGTGGCTCAGTACTTCTACCATGACGTGCACGAGGGGCAGTGTCTGGCCTGCAGCGTCTTTTATGCTGACACAGAATTTCTGGCTGCGGTGAGCCCTGCGGAGAGCTGGATGGCCCCAGGCAATGCCTCCAGCACAGGATTCCCGGCCCCGGGCACCCTCTGCCAAGAGGCAGAGCCGAGCCTGGACGTGACCAAAGCACGTGGCTGTCACAGCGTATTGCGCCCAATGGTGAATCGTATCCCTTGGGACACGCTGTCACAGAGGAGGAATTTCCTGCTCCTCGCTTGTGCGTTTTGCCTATCGTGTCCCGGCTCTGGGGATGGAGATCTCTAGGGCTGGACCCCGCGTCTACCACCATGGCCCTGGGACAGCACAGCCACAGGGCAGATGGGGTCTGGAGAGGGGAAAGGTAGACCCAGCAGATGGGTGAGAAAGGGGGAAAAGAGTGGAAAAATGAGGAAAGACTGGAAGACAGCAGCAGAGAGGGCTGGAAGGTAATGAGCAGAGAGGAGGAAAAACAGAGAGAAACGCAGCTTATTTTTGTAAGCAAAAAAATGCCCCAAGACAGCAGCGTGGCCCTAAAGCAGTCCCAGGTGCACCCACACAAGCTGCAGTGATTAATCCCTGGGTGACTGACACAGAGTCACTGTCCTGGCTGCCTGGGGACACCTGTAAGTGTGTGCTTGCCACCAGAGGGAGGGTCCGCTCCCCGCACGGTTTGCTCACATCGGCAGATTCAGACTCACCCGCTCTGCTTCCCTGGGCGAGTCCTGACGGGATGTACTAAACATCGAGGTATTTGGCGCTGGAATCCTTCAAGGTGAAAAGCAGCATAGTAACGTCTGCAATTCATTACCGAGGTTATTTAATGATTCCTGTATTATTTCTAATTAAGATTGTTATGCTGTACAGTGGCTCCCCGGGGGGGACTGGGAGCATTGCCCAAGGCAGTAAATGCTCTTTGCTCTGTTGCTGGCTGTTAAGGACAAAAGAGGGAGGATAAATCAGTGCATTTAGCCCAGGGGGACTCTGAACCTCTGGCCTCTGCAAAACATCACCATTATCAGCTCAGATTCACCGCACGGGGGGGGGGCCTGGGCTTCCCCTGGGAAAGGCTACAGACTGAGAAAACATCAACCACTCACCCCAAAGAGGAACACCTAAGGATCAGCAGAGGCCAGGCAGGGCAGATCCAGTACTGCTTGTGGCAGCCGGCTGGTGGCAGCACGGGAAAGACACATGAAGGTCCCTCTGGGCTGCAGAGTAGATCCTGAGCTCTCCTTCACCATCCCACGTAGTTCAGTTTGATGCTGTCCCTGTAGTGCTGCAAGAAGGAGCACAGTGGTGAGCAGGCGGGAATGGGACTGAGAAATGCACAGCAAACTGCCCCATCTCTGTGCTTGCCCCAGAGGAGGCGAGCGGCAGGGACATCTCCAAAAGAGGCATCCTCATGAAGGAATAAAACTTGTCCCCATCCACTCAGAACTGCCCTGGGTCCCCCTATCTCCTCCACCAAAATATAACAGCTAGGGTGAAAGAGATCTTGAGCAAAAGCTCTCTCCTCGCCTGGCAAATGCTTGAATCCCACCTGCGCCATGGTTTGTAACGGCTTCTTTCTCCTTGGAAGGAGAGAAGTTAAGCTCCTGAGAGCCAGAGAAAAGTGATCCCTCCCTAAACAGCCAAAGGCAGTGCCTCAGCAAAGGGGAACATGGATTCCAGTCCCCAAATCCTGCCCGGTTCTAGTACTAAAGCTTCCTCGTTGACACCATGGGTTTGATTGAGCTGCCCCTGGCACTGAATAGATACATATGCAAATTTCTTCCTTTTCCTCAAAAACATTCCAGGAGTAGAGCATACTGATGGGAATAGTACAGGGTGAGGCACAATATTTACTGTGCTCAGTTAACCAGAAAGCCAAGCCCAAAATCATCAGCAAAGACAAGTTCATCACCTAAACCATCTTCTCTCAAGGGAAGAGATCTCATGCCTGCAGGTAGACGGGTTTGATGGGGTGGCTTTGCTCCATGGTGACCGTGACCCTGCGACCGAGCGATCGGTGCCATGCTTAGCAGTGTTGTCATCTCATGCCCTCCCCGGGTAAATAACCCTTATCTCCTCATCTCTCTCCTGCTTCCCCAAAATCAGCTATTGCACAAAATGGATCACATGACTTTCTCTGAGAAGCCCATGAAGCACTGCTGTCAGCTCCAGACATGGTATAAATCACAGAGACATCCCAACGGGTACAAATTATTTGGCTGACCAAGCTGCAGCAACGAGGAAACTTCTCCGACAGCCTGGCAAGACCAGAGATTTGGATTCCAGGAAGCAAAACAGGTTGGTGGAATGGCTTTGTTTGACTAGTTAATTTGCTTTGTTTCAGGCTTTTCATTGAGAATCAATGAAGTCCCAAGCTTGGCACAGGCAAGGGGCTTTAGAGGGAGTGACAGCGGAAATAGCTCACATCCTTCTTGCAGGGACTGGTATGAACCGTGATGTGCTGTTCCAAAGACTACCAGGGCTTTCTTACCTTTCAGTGACGTGTTCCTCAGCCAGGAAGTATGACATTTTCTCGGAATCTTTAGTGGTTGACATTTAGAATTCAACCACATTGGCTGTTTGCCCCAGGATATTTGATCCTGTGAGTGCCTTTCTGGTGCTTTTGCGATATCTTGCATCAATCAACACCTAAACGTTGTGTGACAAATTAGGTATGCTTTGCTAAACTGACCTGGGATCTCCCCAAGCAAAAGTATCTTAAGCAAGATCACAGCCTTCAGGGAACCAGAAGAGAAAGGTTGAAAATGAGCTCATCCCTCTTTTTGCACTCCTTGTCTCAGCCTTCCCCGTTCCTCTGATACGTCCTCTCCTCATCACATGTCCTGCTTTGGTCCAGCCCTGGACTATTCAAAATGAAGTGACGCCTCTCATTCATGGGGCTCTCCTCCCAACAGCGTTAACCCCCAGCTAAGGCATTAGCTGAACCATGACCGAAGAGCCCGTGCGGAAGGACAGCGAGATCAGACACCCCAACTCCAGCATGGGCTGCGGACACAAGGATGACAAAGCCAGCCTGCCTTCAAGCCAGATAGTGTCTTTCAGCCACCAGCCTCATCAGCCCCCCTCCACTCCTGCCTCCAAGGAAGTGTGGAAAAAGGGCGGCCGCATGTTCTCCATCCTGCTGGCTGTGCACTTAGCCCTGCTGGCCTGCACGCTGGTGAGCAGCGGGGCTTTTGAGAAGATTGCTGTGCATGATTATGATGTCTTCTTCCTACTGACTGTCATGATGCTGATAGTCATCATATGGATCATCTTCTACCTCGCCGGCACCTCCCGCTGCCCAGATGCCATCCTCTGCAAAGACTCCCACGCTGGGCCCATCTGGCTGAGAGGTAGGAGCTCTCGAAGGGCTAGGGCTGGAGGTGAGATGCAGGGTGGACAGTTCATGGGGGCATCAGTTATTACAAGGGAAACAGCAACAATCTGGGGCACAGTCTCTTCCTCCTATGCTGGGGCACGGCACCATGCCCTGTTTCAGAAGGTTAGCTCCTAGTCCCTCCACTGGTTTCACTGCCAGCTCTCCCTTTATCCGCAAGGGCTCTTGGTGCTTTACACCAGGTTCCTTCCCAGCCTTGCCATTGCTCTTGCAAGAGCTGTTAGCCCCAGTCAGAGTACAGGGTTGATTGAAAATCCCTTCCAGCCAAAATTATTGTATGGTTCTGTTGGTGCCAAGATAATTTGGGTGCTGGGAGAGGAAAAACAGAGGTATAAGCAAAGCCTCCCCATGGCAATAGTTCCTCTTCTTCCTCTCATCTATCCGCATTAGCCTACACGTGCATACATCTGTCCAACCACAGATATTTTGGTTCCTCAACAGGAGGCCTGATCCTATTTGCCATTTTCAGCCTTGTCATGGATGTGTTCAAAATAGGATATTACTCGAGCTTCTACAGCTGCCTGTCTGCAATCAAAATAATCTACCCCATTGTGCAAGCAATATTCGTGGTTGTCCAGGTGAGATGGTTGTGCTCTGTCTCAGGGAAGGTTAGAGAGACAGAGCCACCAGTGGAAGGAGCTCTTATCTCATGCATGGACATAGTTCAACTTCCCCTGCAGCAAATGCAAGTGGCTTAACCCAGCCCCCACCCAGCCCACATCTTCTCCCTCCAACCACGACAACTTCCAGCTGCGGCAACTCACTTTAAGGCATTGATTTAAACTTGTTCCCATCCTGTGACATTTTGGCTTATGCCAGGATGGCTTGTCACAAACTCTAAACAGCCCACATCCAGCCAGATCTCCTTTCCCGTGAAGAACAGAGAGGCAGGAGGACAGTCAGGGCAGGGACTGCCTTGCAGTTTGAAGTCCTACACAAAGGACCACCTGCTCTAGGACAATACCAAGGAGGGAAGAGGTCAGATAGGGACAATTCAGACAGGAACAGGGGCTGGCCATGAGCAGAGCAATGGCAGTGGGACAGGGCAGGAGGAGCAAATAAAGAACAGACCACATCCAGCAAAGGGCCGGGATTAAGGGCTAGTAGGCTGGGCCCAGATGGACCCAAGAGAAAGAGGCTCCAGCTTGCTCTCTGCTGAGCAGGGGGATCCCTACTTCAGAATGATGTGATCTGCTTTCTTGCTTTGTTGGAAATAACAACTTCTTTTCTTGCCCCTGCCAGACGTACTTCCTGTGGATCTCTGCCAAAGACTGCGTCCACGTACACCTGAACGTTACCAGGTGAGCACTGCTGCTCTTTGAATCCCACCGGCCCAGAAGGCCTGGGCCACCGCAAACCCGCTGCCCTCTCTCACACAGCTAAGATGCAGCAAGGGGATAATCCCATCTCCCTTAATGCTGGCCAAAACTAAACCTGCTCAGTCTCCAGCTAGCCTTAGATCCCAGCTCAAGCAGCTGAGGTTCATGACCTGAGGATCTAGCAGGGTTGGGATTCAATTCAAGAATACAAGCATTACTCAAAGCAGATTAGTATTAAATAAATAATTAGCATTAAATAAAATGATTCATAGCTGACTTTTGCTTCCCTGGGGAAGACAACAATGCAGTTGGCAAGCCTCAGGCTAAAACAAGATCTTGTCCACTTTTGCAAGACTGGATCTACTGGAGACCAATCCAGACCTATTGATCTATTCACTATTGAGAAGCTCTTCCAAAACCAACAAGAGGAATCAGGCCTTGCTAATTCTAATGAGCATGGACAAAAAACAGGAAGAGAGCGAAAGCAGCAAAGCAAGGGCCAGGATTTCTAGCCTTGACCACTAGAGTCCTTGCACCACTTCAAGGCAGCTCCCACAGTCCCCCTGAGCGCATGCACATCTATAACATGGATGGGAGCAGCGTGGCCTAGAGCCATTGCTTTAATCTCATGAACCTTCTCCTTCTGCAGGTGCGGCTTGATGCTAACACTGACTACAAACTTAGCAGTGTGGATGTCAGCAGTGACAGATGAGTCTGTTCACAAAGCACATTCAAAGTTGAAGAAGAATGTGACAGAGGAAATCTTCAGATGGCTCCTGAAAGGTAATCTGCCCATTTTTGAAGCTATCTGGTCCAGGGAGGGAGCCCATGAGATAGAAATTGTTCTGCAAGTCAGGTTTTATCCCTTTTCAGAAGGCCTATCTAGAGCTGAAGGTTCCTTTAACAGAGCTGCTATGTTAAAAGCCAGGTCTTAATGTTCATTTCTTAACCTGTATCACAGAGCAGTCAGAAAGGTGGAAGGCCCTGTACAAACGGGATGGGAATAAAGAAGGGAAGGGAAGGGAAAAGAGAGGTTTAACCCACCACCTAACTTCTTCAGAAAGAACACGAGCACCAGAAAGCTGAGGTTGAAGTGTCCTTGTTTTCAAAGCGGTCACGTATTCTTGTGTCTTTGGTCTTGTTTTTCACTGACCCTAAGTGTCCAGTTCTTCAGGGCTGCAAACAAGTGCTGGCTCCTTGTTTTAATACCACTGCATCTACGTGTTTTTATCTTGTTTCAGCGGGAATGAGAAGTAGCTCAGCCGAAGAATGCAATTGCAACAGCCAAATCTGCCAGATCTTCAAGAACGGCTATTTTTGGCTGTACCCCTTTAACATTGAGTACAGTCTCTTTGCCTCTGCCATGGTCTATGTCATGTGGAAGAATGTTGGACGCTTCATAGACCACCACTCCCACCACATTCACCACCTGAAGTTCAGGCTCTTCCGAAGGACCTTCTTTGTAGGCATTGTGTTGGGCCTCATCATTCTGGTGAGTGGTTTGGGAGTCCTTATTCTTTATGAGGTGCAGGTAAATTCCAGCACTGAATCCAGCAAGAAGAGCCAAGCACTCACCATGTACTACATCTTCAACATTGTTTGTCTCGGCCTGATGTCTCTTGTCTGCATTGGTGGCTCTGTCATCTACCGGTTTGACAAGAGAGACATGGATCGGCACAAGAACCCAACCAGGACCCTGGACGTGGCCCTGCTGATGGGTGCAGCCTTGGGGCAGTACGCTATTTCTTACTACTCCATTGTGGCCATTGTAGCCAGCACACCAAGGGACGCTATCAGCGCACTCAACCTCACCTATGCCCTCCTAATGATTGCTCAGCACACCTTCCAGAACATCTTCATTATCGAAGGCCTTCATCGGCAACCCCCCAAGGAAGACCACAAGCACGATTCTCACCAGAAGGACCTCTATGGACTCACCTTTGTCAACATCAATGCAGTGTCCCTCCGGGTGCCCGACAGTGGCAGCACCTTGGCCCCTAGCACTGCCTCTGGCACCGAAGCCATCCATCCTTCTGACCTTGTGCGGTCCCTCACCGCCCCCAAGAAGATGAACTGGAGGAGGAAGTTCTTAAGGGAGATCTCCATGTTCCTCCTGCTGAGCAATATCATAGTGAGTACATGCAGAGAGGAGAGTTTGTCAGGGTGGGGGAGAGGGAAGCAAGCACAAGGGAGAAATGACTGTGAAGGAAAGGATGCGGCCCATGCAAAAACAGTCCTTTCTGTGCCTCCGCTATACAGAGAGCACACTTACTTATATTTGTATGTGCAGAGAGCTGTATTCCCTTGTCACTTAGAAGAGCAACTGCCCTGGAGTTAAGACATTTTAGGCTACGCCAATAGACCTGTCACTTATCACTAGAATATCAGACAATAAAATCGGTGGGTACAAGAGAAGAATTAGCTTCAGTATTTTTATTGGGTGTTAGCAGACATGTAGAATAGCTTATTAAAAGCAATAAAATACATTAAACCCTTCCCTTACACCCCCAAAGAAAGGACGTAGAGTGACAAATACCTGGTGGTGAAGTCAGGGTTTTCTTGAGAAATGGCAGCATGTCTCTTCTCAAAACCCACGGCCTAGGAGCCCAACGCTGATCCCAGTTGCTGTGAGGAGAAACTGGTCACTGACAACTTCAGTTGGGGCTTCCACTTTCATGAGCAGGCAGGGGACCGCAGTTCCCTGCACAAGAAAAGTAGGATTACAGCTGTGCCTCCAAAGCAGCCAAGCACATATTATGTCTCTGGAGAACCTCCAAATCCCCAGCTAGCCAGTCACATCATGTCCTCAAACTGATTTTACACATAAGCTCGCAGAGAATGAGCTGACAACCCCCATGCAACCAGACATGCATGCTGGCTGGGCTTCTGAGCAAAACGTACACAACCGAGCCTGGGGGAGACCAAGCTGCTGCCAGCTCAGCCCTAACCATGCTTGCTCCATCCAAAGAGTTCAAACAGGCCAGGTTCATGCTAACACACAACATGCTCAAGTTCTTCCCCTGGTGAGTGCTTCAGCACTTGGTTCAAGCCTGTCTCTGAGCATGAATTGAAACTGGGCTTAGGGTACAACACTATATCATACTTTATCTTAATGTAAACACAGGCTCCTGGCACAGGTCCCATGCTCAGAAGGTCACTCTTTTCCCACCTCTCGGTCGCTGTGATTGCAAGTGCTTGCTGTACCACACAGCTTTCTCACTGCAACGTTATTCTCCTGTTTCTTCAAACAGCTCTGGATCATGCCAGCATTTGGTGCCCGGCCCCAGTTTGACAATGACACAGAACTGAACTTCTATGGCGATTCCATGTGGCCGGCCATCGTGGACATTTGCCTGCCCTTTGGGATCTTCTACCGAATGCATGCAGTGGCCAGTTTGCTGGAGGTCTACATCATGTCCTAAAGAACTCTCTCGCAAGGAAAATGAAATCCTCCTCAACCAATCCACCTTCTTCCTACCCCAGGGCTGGGAGACTGCCCAGATGTCCCGAGGGGTCCCCAGCACTGCCTGAATCATGTCCCCTTGCAGTGTTGGGGCATTTATGAACCGCCAGTGACGATCATCCAAACATAGTCCAGATTTTATTTTTGCTACTTGTGTGTGGATGTGCATGTGTGTGTCTGAAGCTCTTAAAGCTTAAAAGAAAAAAGATAAAAAAAGGAAGGTGTCCAGAGTAGGATCATGGTAATGACCCTTGATTCATGCAGAGACTCACCTTCCTTCTTAAAAGCCTGTTCACTCCATGCCACTGACGTACTCTCCAGCAGGTGCTCGGCACCCTTGGACAGTCAGTGCCTGCCTGCACACAGAGACCCAGTGGGTGCGAGGGGCTAATGCAGGCGTGGAAGGCAAAGAAAGGGAAACCACTTCAACTTCTGGTACGGCCAGTCGGAAATCACTCCCCTGCAGAGATGTGAAAAGCAAACCAGTGATCACCAAAGGCTTTGGGAAACATTTTAATCTTCCTTCTCTGTATTGCCCGTTTATATTGGCCCTCTTGACCCTTCCCCGTATCAGCCCCTGCTGTTTTCCTTCCTCTCCAGGGAGGCATCACTGCTGCCGAGTGGGTTTGCTCACTGCAGCCTCCTCTTCCCGAGAGGTGAGTCGTTTCTACAGGAGAGCTGTGCATGGGGTCTGGGGCTGGCCCTGATACAGGATTGCTCCAAGCACACTTTTTTTCCCCAGTTTTCCTGAATCAGGGCTCAAGAACCATAAAGATCATATGGGCAATACAGTCTGGGGAACGATAAAGAGATTTGTTTTTCTTTTTTCTTTTTTTTTTAATAGATAATGGGGTTTTTTAATACATGAACATTTTTGTATGCAAAGTTATTTATTGATTTTCACTGTAACACTGAACTCCTGAAGGGACCTCCTGTGCCCTGCGACACAGAAATCAATCCAATGCCACGGCCAATTTGATCTCCCATGCCCTGAAGGGATGCTTGCACGGCACCCTCAAGCCTGTGCATGCTTTGAGGCTGTGAGTGCAGCCCCAGCACCCAGGCAGCCCCAGGGCATGTAGCAGTGGGGCCCCGACACAGGTTTCTAGGTGCCTGCAGCTCTCCACGAACCACTGTATGATTGACGGGGCCTTCAGAGCAGGACTCCTGGGCTGTAGGAAGTAGAAATGGGCCCCTCTGCTGTACCCAGAGTCCAAGCGGAGCCTCAGAAAGCCCGTGCTGCCAGGCTGGGAGAGTGCATGCCAAAATGGCACAGCTGAGATTTGTCTGTACCCTGACACATCAGGGTTTATTGTTCCAATAAAGAACACTGCAAAGGTGGCAGAAATCATCAAGCCTTTTCCTACGGACATGTGTGCATCCACCAAAGAAAAAAAAAATAAAATAAATGGAAATCACAATACTTGAAATCGAGTGATGCGATTGTCCACCCAACGGCCCAGGCTGCCAGCCCAGGCTCACGCGCTTCGAATCACCTTTCCCTGCCAAACCTAGATCACCAAACCAGAAGGGACCGGTGCCTCTGGCTGGTCTGACACCAGCCTGCCTGCCAGCAGCCTTTTTCTGAGGCAGGTAGAAGATGGGGTAAACCCTGATTTCCCCTGCCCCCGGAGGACTGCACTGATCCAGCACCTCTGGGGTGGGTCAATCCTTCCCTTCCCGAGCCTGGGAGCAGGGAGGCAGCCTCTCCCAGCCCCATCAACCTGGCAAAGGCCTGGCTCTATTTCTCCCATTGATCTGGTAAAGATACAATCTCTCCCTATAAACCTTACCTTTCATAAAACAAAAGCCTTATTAATTTTAACTGCAGGAGCCACAGATTAAGTCAGAAGAGAGACGCAAACAGTGCACAGACGTCAGTCTTACGTACACCCCTACTCATTGTTTTAGCCCAAGCTGCTGAGCTCGGACAGGGGCAGAAAACACTTTTAATCACCTACTCTGTTCCTGGGGGCACATCGGGCTTTCCTCCTACGCACTCTTGCTGGTGCCTGGTCCCAGGTTCCCAGGGCTGGGCACACCTAGCCAGGCAGGGCAGAGTTTGAACTGTTCTTCTGTTCTGGACAGAGACCATAGGGGCACTTCTGGGGCTAAATAAACTCAGGATGGGTGCAAGAACCCCACGACAGCCCAAGCAGCACTGATACAGGCAATAATCCCAAATCAACCTCCCCAGGGTGCTGAGTGAGCAGGAACCACAACATCCAACCACAAGCCATCACTTTGGGATAAACCAAAACGCTCTGGGGACACTTCAAGCTCTGCAAGGACCCCTTGCTAACCTGAGGCGTCTCCAGGCTGCAAGTGCAGGGACAGCAGGGGTTTCCAGCCAAGGGCTGTGTTGTTCTTCTGCCCCCCAGCCACATACACGCATCTTGGGAGAGGCAGCAGATAGGGAAACGGCCATCAGTGAACCCTATCTATATACCCAAGAAAGGAGACAGAGGGAAAGTGAGCACCCACGAGTCCAAAAAGCAAAAAAACGCAAAAACCCAAACCCTAAGAAAACTCCACTGTAAACATGGGCCCTGCTGTGTGCTCAAGGATTGTCTACTAGAAGGTATCAGCTCATGGTCAGTTAATGTGCAAAGGGATGATCTCCAAGGCTGATGGAGATCAGCCAAACATCTCTGGGCAACTCCTCAGCGCAGCCAGCATCCCTGGGGTGTCACCCAAACCCGGGTGCACCCCCGGAGCAGGCGCTGCCGCATCCTAGTTACATGGATCCATGCCCTTCCCTGGGACTCTGCGCTGCCAGGCAATGCAGCCAACTGATGCTGGCTGCTCCATCACTACCCCTTCACTATGGGCCCGGGACACACCTCCTCACAGCTCAGTTAAAGAGGGGGACTTCTCTCCCTGATGGAGAGTTTTATGGAAGGGGAGAACACCCCAAATACAGAGTACCTGAGTAACGTGAAGGGGTCCCGCTTGGTCCTTTGCACACACGTCCTCGTGACAGATCCCTGCAGAAAAGCACTGCTGTTAGCACCATCTTCCACACCTGGAAGGAGGGAAACTGAGGCACAGGAGCTGGGTGAACAGAAAGCCTGTATCAGAGCAGAGAACGAGGCTAGGCCTCAAGGCCACCGGCAGCATGCTGCTGACTGCTCCTGCCATTGCATCTATTATGGCGCAGAGATCAGGTCCGCATTAGGGGATGCGGAACGGGGACAACAATGTGCCTCGCGGTGACTGTTTAAATGGCAGCCGTTGCAAATGAACAGCTACAGGAAAGCAAAGGGTTTTCCTGGGGCGCTCACATCTTGCCAGGGGCTTCCAGTCTTGCTGGCTTTGGTATAAAGTCCACCTTGGCCTGCCAGGGAGCTGAGGACCTGCTGTGCCACAGGGGTTTGGTGGGAGCACTGAAGCCCACTGATAAAAATCACTCATCAAGGGATGCCAGGGTTAAGAGTCCAGCTCTGGCTGAGCTCAAAGATCTGCAGATCCAGCCCCAGGACTTTAGCCACTTCATGAGTGCCGAAAAGGTCCTGATCCAGACCCTGGCCTGAGGCACGTGGTGCCAGAGCCAGCAAGGGCGAGCAGCAAGAAGGGGAAGAGCCGAAGAGCAGGAAATCAGAAATCACTGCTCAGAAAAAAGCACGGAAGGCCATAACCAAGGCCAGAACTAAGTCATCATCCCACCGCTACCAGGGTTTTGCATCCCTCCTCTGCTTCTTAATCATCTGTTATTTGAGGGCGAGTTTCGTTTTATTAGGGGGAAAAAAAAAAATAAGCCTTTTATCTGGGTGATTTGCTCTGAGGTGTGTCAGAGACAGGGGGGAATCCAAGTTAATTATTATCGTCAATGCAGCAGCTGGGAAGTGGATGCATTGAGGAGGTCACAAGGCTGGAGACGAGGGATGGATTTGCAGCACAAGGCAAGGCGCAGTCTGTGAGCAGGACTGGCTCCAGGGTATGCTGGGAGCCAGGGCTGGAGGTGGTGGTGGAGGAGGCACTTCCCAGCGACCAAGGCAGTGGTCCTTGCCAGCAAGGAGCAACTCAACGCCGGCAGGAGGTCGAAGCAATCTGCACCGAGGGCCAGCAAGGAAAATACAGGGCCATGCTTCACAAGTGGAGCCAGCACATACCCACGGAGCCCATCCGCTCCTGCAGCGAGGGGATGGAGCTGGGGCGGTGCAGCACAGCTCACCCTCGTCCACGTTGGTGAGGCTGCTCTTTGCAGTCACCCTCAAAAGGCACTCACTCACCAGCCCCACGGAAGACGTCACCAGCGCGGTTATCGGCAGAGAAGGAAGGGTGTGGGCCAGCCAAGGAGTCGTGAGTCGCACGGCGTTCCTCAGGCAGCCTTTGGGCAAACACGGCAGCTGGGCACAAACCTCCTTCCTCCCCAGGTCCTGTTTACAGATCCGCTTGGCCCAGCCTGGGTGTTATTACTGCTAAGTGCACAGATAACGCCATTAATAAGCACACTGCTGATAGCAGAGGGGCAAACATCACTCCTAACGTTTAGCAGCTTTCTCTCAACCTCTGAGTAAAGGCAGCTTCTCCAGGGCAGAGCCAGGCAGTGATTTATGTGATCGATCCAGTTCAACTCATCCTCTCCCTTCCTACCCCTCAACTGCAGGTTTGCTTACTTAATGACTTGGTTAAACTTGTGTCAATACATTCAAGTTAAACAGCTGCTCTTCAACATAAAGGTGAAATTAGGAGGATTAACCAGTCTCCCAGGGCTTTACAACTCCTTTGGGATCAACCTCAGCTCCAAAGCCAGGAGAGGGCAAGTCAGGCTAGGAAGGATGCCTCATCTTTGCAGCTCAGATGCACAGTGCCATTGGCAAAACCACTGGGGCACAGCAGGCCCCAGCATTTTATTTCAGGCCCATCTTTAAATGAAGAACCTCCAGTTTCAATCAAACTTATTTACCCCAGGATACATTCAGACTCCTGGCCTCCATTTCCCAGTTCTGCAGTCAACCCAATTCAGGACCATATACACTGAAAAACAGCCAGGTTTTTAATGTCTTACACGTAAATCATTGGCTTTGTTCAACAAAGAGGCCACCAAATAGCTCTTGGGAGATCCCAGTTCCCTGCTAAGCTCTAGAACGGGGTCTGGAGAAGAGCCAGGAACCCAAAGGAGAGCCCGATTGCACTCAGGGGATCCCAGGGCAACAACGCAAGGAGGAAGGACACGGTCCTCTGAGCAGGCTGGAGATGCTGATGCTTTCGGGGAAGAACAAATTCTGTTTGGAGCAGAACAAATCTAGCCATGGGTAGTCATGAAAACCTGCCCAGATCAGAGCATCCGGGCTTCACTACAGCAGTGCAAGGTTTTGGTCAGACATTAAACATGTCCATTTTGCTGGCAGACATTAAACACAATGGCTGCACCGGCGCACACTGGGTGTTCTTGCCCAGGAGCAATGGGCCCTTTTCACTCTTGTTTCCCGTCCCTTTCATCACATCCCCACACATGATAGCCTGTGCTCCCTCACACACTCCTACCCCTAATCAGCTTCTTGGGAAGTGTTTCATGGCTCTGAACTCCCAACTCATGTGTTTGCCAGCTGCAAGAACCCCAGAGCTTGAGGGTTCATCCTGGGACACACAGACAACTCCTCTCCTTCCATGGAGAGGTCCATCCTCTCCTGATGGACCCTCTGGGCTCATGAGCTCAGCCAGGAATGCCAAAACCCCATTGCCAGCCACAAAACCAGGGGGATCAGCTCACCACAGCGTCCCAAGACAGAAATCAGTTTGCCCTGCAACAGGAAAGGGAACAGGGACAGCACAGCTTGGACCTAGAGCATCCCTGACCCCGCATGGCTGAGCCTGTGGGGTTTGCACACGAGGGTCTGGCTCTGAAGTCAGCAGTAACAGGTTGTAGCTATCACCCCACACAAAGAAGCGACCTCTCTGCCAGAAGCGCATCAAATAGGCGTAGTCCCTGCACCTAGGCTAGACTGCGAGTTTTGCCTTTTGAGTCAGTTTGTGTATCCGTGCCCTGGATAAAGGCACAAAGTAACGACGTGCTTGAGAAAAAAAAAAAAATCTTAGGATCTACCTAAAAACAAGGGAGTAGGGAACTCAAGTGGATTTTATCCAAAGCAGTGTGGATAAGTGGCTAAGCACTCCCAGCACAAGGCTGTGCCAGGAGATTAGCTCTACACTCGCCTGAGCCATGGCACAAATTAGTCACCGCAGCTTGTGGTTTTACCAGTTGGCACATCCTGTGCCGAGGCCGCTGACATGGGGCAATCCAGCAGGTGCATAAAGGAGCTGATCCCCATTGGCTGCCCTTGGCAGAGCCGGGAGCTTCTCGCTGAGTAATTAAGGTAATGACAATAATAGACCCAAAGTAAACAAGGTGGAAAAAAAATTTAAAAAATCAATTGGCTGGGAGCAGAGGCCACATTCAGTGGGGAGCAGTGCTGACGGCTTCTGCCTGCACCTTGGTCCGTTGGAGACTCACATGCATCCTGGTGGCACTCCAATGAGTGGTTTTAAACATCGGCTGTAACGGAGGCTGCACCGGCAG